TAGTTTACAGTCAGAATACTTACAAAGTAGTACACGGAGCCAGCTCTGTGGGGTGGTGGATAAGGCAGCTGGATCCCATATGCTGACTAGCTAGTTCAAGTCCCAGGCCCAGAGGCGTGAGAAACATGCCAGGCACATGAGCCGTTCCCATGAGAGGGGGTGTTTCCTCCTCCTCCTCTCTGTCTCTTTTTCTCTGGCTAGTTCACATACTCTGTAACACAGACACACACGCACCCGCACAAATACACACACACAAATAGTACACGTACATTGTATAAAATATGGAAAACAAACACCTAACAGAAAAGTTAAATAAATATTCAGAGTGAGTATCTTCTAAAAATTTGTGCTTTTTCCTCTGCCCTGAGCAGGCTGTATATGCTATTTTATATCTTTTTATTAACTTGATATCATAAAGTGTTTCATCAGGCAACACAGAGTTCTTCCTAAAAATGATTTTACAATGTTTCATTATGTAGTTATATTACAACTATGTCCCTGTTGTTGCATATTTATTAGAGTGTTTCTGAAAATGCATTATTATAAATTATACTTTCTTGAATTAATCTCTTTATATGTAATGTCATTTTTATATATCAGATTATTTCCACAATTATGATAGATGCCCAGAAGTTGGTTATTAAATGAGCTTTCTTAAAGGCTTGTATTTTATTTATTAATAAAGGTCCAAGTGTTTTCTAAAAGAGCTATACTCATATATTGTATATTATTAATACTTGAATTTTTTTTTTTTTTGGAAAGGTTTTTGCTATAGGGCGCGTGCGCTTACCAGAAAGACAGAGAGAAACAGAGAGATAGAAAGCGAGAAATCACCCCCCCCCAGGGGGGGGGGGAATAGCCACGTTGCAATCCCTTCTCCTCCATTCTCCTTTCGAGATTTGGGCATGCATGCACATGCTCCCAGTGAGTTTAAGCCACCGGGTCCAGGACTCGAACTGTGGTCAACTATGTGGGAGTTCAGTGACTTAGCCATTATGCCATCTGCTGGCCCCGCCTTCTGATCTTTTAAAATGTAACTGATACTTGGTATAGATTTTATGATATACAGTGTGTTAAAAATGTTTTTCCAGGGGGCAGGCCAGGTGATGTGGGTGGTTAAGGTGGCTGGATCCCACATGGCCTAATGTGCGGTTTGAGTCCCAGACCTGGCTGCTTGAAAAGCCCACTGGCCACATATCCATATATGGCCAAAATCCCAAGAGGAGAATGGAGGAGAAGGGATCATGGCATGGCCATCCCCCCGGGGGAGTGATTTCTCACTTTACGGTTTTCTCTTTCTTGCTCCTTCCCTTCCTCCCTCTCTCTCTGCAGCAAGCACACATACTGTTTAGAAAGCTAAAAAAATTTTTTTCAAGCATTTTAAATGTGGACAAGGGCTGCAGTTTGCTCAAAAGACCAAGATAACATCCTTAAACAAAGTACATTTTAATAGAAAGCTTCAAAATTAACATGGCTGAAATCTTGAGCTTCTATAAATATTCAAACGGAAGTCAGACAAATCCTGATTGGCTTGTAAGAAAGTAACTCTAAGGAACCTTCTTAACTTTCAGTGATTCCGTAACTCGTTTGATGGTCATTTAAATACTTTAACCAGGAGAACTTTGTAGTTTTGCTATAGGTTGCATGCACTTGCCAGAGAGTGACAGACGAAAGAAAAATGTTAGACATCACCCCCTTGGGGGGATGGCCACACTGCAGTTCCTTTTCCTCCACTCTTCTCTCAGGGTTTTGGGCATGCATGCACATATACCAGGTGTGTTTTTCGAGCTGTCAGGTTCAGGACTCAAACTGCATGCCCTTAACCTCTGTGCTATCTGCTGGCCCTGAGAACTAGCTTCTAATGCATCTAGTGTCAGTTATTTCATTTGACATTTAATTATAAGTCATTTTTCTTTCTTTTTTTTTTTTTTTTACCCTGTAAAAGGATGCATTTTTAATGTATATTGGATTCAACCCTAGCATTTTGAGGGCCTGTAGTCTTCTTTTCCTGACTGATTCTTAGTTCCCGCCATTGCTCTTGAAGATTTTCTCAGATGCAACCTGGACAGACATTCATATTTCACATGGAACATTTTGTCTTGTGAATTCAAAACTTCAAACAGTATTTTTTATATCAACTTTTCAATTGATAAAGTATGTTAGAATTTATTATCATTCTAATGCCTTATCAACAAAATAGGATGTTGGACTCCCAAATTAATGAAAACTAGTCATTACAGGATTTTTTGTTGTTGCTGCTAACACTCTTTATGAACTAACACCTATAAAAACTTAGGGGTTTCTTTTCATTAGATGTATGATACTTCTATTTTCAGCTTAGAAACCTGGTGACTATTAAACAGCATGTTCTTTTTTACAAATTGGTTTTATGTTGCTGGAAGCGCTCTAAGCACCTTGAAGTGTTCAGGAAAAAGAATACCATTCTCTGTTTTTGGCAAACTTTTAATAATGCCTTGGGTGGTTTTAATAAGTAGGTCTTCTGGGATTACATCTTGTTGTGAAATTTCATTGAAAGGAAGATTCCACTGCTCTGTACTTGAACCTGTGTCCTTTGCTTATTGTAATGACTCTGTAAGTGAAAAGGAGTCGTCTGTTTGAGAGGACACATGGAAAGTTGTGCAACCAGAGTGTAACCTGTATTGCAGGCGCTGAGCGTGAGCATCCACGGTGGCCTCTCATCAGCTTAAGTTGTTCAGGCAGCACCCGCCCTCGCTGGCTACGTTCGTTGTTATTGGAAAATTCCATCCATGTTAACAATGTTGATCAAAGTTCATTACCAGGTTATGCTTGTAGAGGCCCAATAGCCTCTGCTAGTGTCTTCTATTCGGGAGCTGTTGTCTTTATGAATAAAATGATCTCATGGGTCATAGCTTGAAATGATCAGAGTATTTACTTACTGTGCTGATGTTTCTTCCATTCTGCACTTGCTGTCCTGTCCTTGGGCTGGTGTGATATGAGAGGAGTCTGATTGCTGCTAAACAGAACTTGTACCTTAATGTTAGGTCAATAGCCTTCTAAACTGGTTTTTACAATCACTTAGTTATATAGGGAGTATATTATATGCCAGAACCTTAGGCCTTACCTCCATCCTAAGCAGTTTACTTAGTGAAATTTTGAAGTTCCTTATCTGAAAAATGAAAATAATAATAGTTTTTACTTCAGTTCTTGTCATGATTATATGAGATAATTTCAAACCAATTGCTGTCCACGCTAACTAAAGGCCTCATAATAGCACAGTACAAAAAAGCATATGCTAAAAAAGCATATGCAAAAACAAAATGAATTGGAATTTAGAAACAGATTTTGAGTATGGATTTATGTCTTGTTCTCTTCCATCCTCGCTCTTTATTGATGGCCTGCTATATGCCAGGCACTGTGTTGACAAACACAAGTGGGACATGGGGCCTCTACTGAAATGATAATGTGGTGGAAGGATAGACAGTTTAATTTAGTGTAAGAAAGACTCGAACTTGCGGAAGCATTGAATATAAATACAAACAAACAAACCTGTTCAGTAGCCCGATTCAGCAGAATTCACTGCCTTCACAAAGAGGCCCAGTACCCTACAGTCTTGTTCATATATGTTAGGAGAAAAGGCAAACCCTGTTTGTCTTATTGCCTGTTTTTGTGTTGCTAACAGAAATACCTAAAAACTAAATGAACTAAAGAAAATCGACGTTTACTGTGACTCACGGTTTCCATTGGCCGTGAAGTCCAAAGGCCTCACCAAATGGAGGGAGGCAGAATGTTTAGCAGAACAGAGCATGGTCCGTACCCTTGTGGGTTTCTCTTTCATCTCACTAAGTGCAGTTAACAATACGTATGCAGTTCTTCTATATTTTGCTTTGAAATCTCATTAGCCAGTTTTTCATCTCTTACATTCAAAATTCCACAACGCCTAGGACACGGACATTTTTTTCATCCAAATTCTTCGTTAGAAGGGTGTAACATGGATATGCTTCTCCAATTTCTAAAAAAAAAAATGTTCTCATTTTTCTTTGAAACCTCCTCAGAACAGCAATTTTCACCCATATTTCTTTGTGTCCTGGTCACCACCATTTAACCAATCTCTAAAAAGTTCTAGTTTATTTTCCATTTGTTCATTTGAACTTCCACCAGAATCTAGGCTTTACCTAGCCTTCTCCTTATTTCTGCACATCCCTCGGTTCTAAAGTAGTTTCCACATTTCCCAATATCTGTAGCAACACTGCTGACTATGCCCACTTCTGTCTTAGTCTGTTACTATGTTGCTAACAAATGCCTGAACCTGGCTGATTTTGTAAAAGTAGTTGTTTCATTACTCACATTTATGTTGGCTGGAAAGCCGAAAGGTATCAGTAATGTGGGAAGGGAGGACTTTTAGCAGAGCGGAATATGCTCTGTGTATGCGTGGTCTTCTCTTTCCTGTTTTGTCTCATTCTCTTTGCCTACAGACCCTGATGGTGCTGGGTCCTAGGAGACACCACAGGACACCACAAGGGAATTAGTCACTTAACAGCTAAGTAATACAATCAGTACAATCAGACCCCAATACATTTCTGGGGAACATCTGATCACCACCCACTAAGAAAAAATTCCAAACATGGAGCTTTGGGAAACAAACCATTTTGGAGATGGAAATCCACATGAGTTGGTTGGCAATCATTCAGGGATCAAAAAGTCATCTTTACTATACCTTCCCCTTTTAGGTGGGACTGACCTTAACTCAGAGATGGTAAACATGGGCACGTTAGCAAACTCAGTCTTTGTCTTTCCTCAGTGGAGTTTCTAGGGTAACAGAGACTGCCAATCAGTATCTTGCAGTGTGTGATTTACATGAACTCATTCGAAGAATGTGAATAGTCAAAACTGTAACTTATGAAATGATAAATTCTGATGGTGTAATATATGAAAGTATACAGTAAAACAGTAAAAATCCCATTAACGAGAGACTTACAAGTTTGCTAAAATTCACGTTCTGTTTTTCTTCTTTTCCCCAGAGCATCTTCTACACCCAAGCCTGAGCCTGTTCATGTTCAAAAGGTTTGTAACCCAGCACCACTGGGGGGGCCGATTGATCGTCCCTCTTGGGCCACTGTGATTTCCACGGCTGTCTCCCGCCATGTTTATGTTTAGTTCGTAGTCTCAATCCAGTTTTCCTCATAATTTTTTTCCTTAAAAGATGAGGAGGAAATGGAAATTAACATATACAGAATTACCATTTGTAATTATACTTATGTTATAAAACATTATTTCCAAAGGCATACATTGTACGTAACTAATGACCCCCTTTTTTATATTTATACATATTTACTTTTAATTTGCCTATCTTTATTTTCATATTCTCTAAAGAGAATGAATAAGTGCTTACCAAAAATTAATATCACAATAAATCTTTAATAACATTTTACTAATAGTATTTAATTATATTTCAGAGTATTCTTGGATTAGTTATGGACAAGTACCCCCTTTCTGTCATATATATCCTTAAATTACTCCAAACCATCATTCAGAAACATCTGGTTATGCTTTTTGAGTTTTCCTCCTAATTTTCTTTGTATCTTTTCATTGAATTATTCTTATATTGATTTGCCTAAGCCTTAAACTATTTGTTTTTCTCAATTATTTTTTCTTATTTCTGTAAGATTACTTTAGATTATCTTTTTTGCTTAAAATTAAACATCATAGAGCCACCAGTTTAATGATCTTTTAAAAATTTAATTACTTTTCTATGGTGGAATAGGACAAGTAGGCATTTAATTTATTCTTGAATGTCATAGGAACTTAATCTGTTTTTTTTTTTTTTTTACTCTAAATAGGCTTTGGAATAGGATTTTCAAATTCAAAATTTTGTACTTTTAGTTGGAACTGATCTTTCTGATTAGTTACTTATTTTCTTTTTGTCTGCTGCCAGTGAAGAAATATTTAATTTTTTTTCTCATGTAACTATTAAATATTTATTTTGGAAAAGGCAAAGAATTTTACTTTACCTCTGAATCATATCTTAAAACATTCAGAGAGGGAAACAGAGATGGATTACAGGAGACAGAAAGGATCAGTTTTGTTTTGTTCATTTGTTTGCTTTTTCAGTCTTCTTTTCAAATTCTTGATTCAAGATAATTATGCCCCTTTATGAATTAGATGAAAATTATCTTATATTCCACATTATTTATTTATGTATTTTTAATCTGAAAGTTAAAAATATGATTCTGCTTCTATCCAAATCAAATAATAGCATTCTGGAAACAAATTAAATTTGTAAATAATGAAATTATAGTTGAGTCTCTGGATATTTTAAAATATAAAACATTTCAACTAGCAGTGTTTTGCTTATTATGGAGTATTACAATTTTTTTTTCCCTTGGAATATGTCTAAATTGATACTTAATGATGGTATTTCTGGTAGTTTTCCTCCTCTATCTTCTAAATATTTTGAAACTCCTTCCATTTTTATAAAAAAGTGCATATAAATTATTGTGGGTAACTGGGCGATGCATGCTGGGATCAGGTAGCATGCACACTGTGCTTTATCGACTCATTGTTTTTTTCTGGAAACATGCTATTTGGGCTGCTAACATGATTGTGTTTGTCTTTGAAAAAATCAGCTGTGTGTTCTCTCCAGTGGATATATTTTGCATGTATTTGGTGTGTTTTTGTATATGTTTATTTTTATTTTACATAGGGAGAACCTAAAGAAGTAGTTAAGCCTGTGCCCATTACATCTCCTGCTGTGCCCAAAGTCACTTCCACAACCAACATGGCCTACAATAAGGCACCACGGCCCTTTGGTTCTGTGTCTTCACCAAAAGTCACATCCATCCCATCACCATCGTCCGCCTTCACCCCGGCCCATGCGACCACTTCATCACACGCTTCCCCGCCACCTGTGGCTGCTGTCACTCCCCCGTCCGCTGCATCTGGACCGCATGCTCACGCCCATCTCAGTGCTGACCAGTGCTCCTCTGCAGTGAGCATTGGTAAAACTGCAGTTAATGTCCCACGGCAGCCCACAGTCACCAGCGTGTGTTCCGAGACTGCTCAGGAGCTAGCAGAGGGACAGAGAAGAGGATCCCAGGGTGACAGTAAACAGCAAAATGGGTAGGTGGCTAAGGGTGCTTTCTGCTCTTTTCAGAACTCTTCTTTTAGGCGATTTCCAGCAAACACTTGATCTACTCCCCCTCTCCCCCCAACACCAACTAGCTGTTTTTTGAAGGAAGGGAGATGAGGTTTATTTGCTTCATTAACACGTGGCCTTTATATTATGTACATACAGCACCCTCTGCTAAGCAATTGCAGGTTATTGGAAACCCCATTACTGTGTTCTGACATGTTACAATCCATGTGACATACTTTGTAACTCTTTCTCCAAGGCCCCGGCACAGCACTGAGCAGCTGGCACTTATAATGCAAGGCAAATCTTGAATCTTTCTTTCTCAAGTTTTCCATTCTTTTATTGGCCACCAAAAGTTACAGAGTGATTACAGTTGTCACCATATGTATCTCTTCCTAAGGAGAGAGGAAATGAGTTTGTAAGAAGCTTCCCCCCCCCCAGTAGTGAGAGGAAATGAGTTTGTAAGAAGCTTCCCCCGCCCCCCCCCAGTAGCTTTAGGAAAGCAGAAAACAAGTCTACTTTATACTCAGACTCCTGTCTATAAAGGAAGCCTTAGCACAGAGAAGATAGCTAGCTGTTCTTTTCAGATAAAGATGAATTTGTTCTCTAAAAACAAACATTAATGGAAAGGCAATAACAAGGGATGTCAGAAGCAAATTCGAGAATATTTTCATTGTAGAGATTTTTTTCTAAAACAAATTTAACCCAATGAGCATGAAATGTATCATGTTACCAAAAGTTTTCAAAATCTTTTTTTCACGTTTTTTTAAAACATTGTAGTAATACATTCATTTGAGCGACACAAAGTTATGACTGCATATCTATTTTCAGCCAACTTCAATTATAGAGGGCCATTTGAGTCCTTTTGGAATTCAGTGACAATTCTTCTAAGGCAGAGTCATCTGTGTAAAATCATTCTGATCGATTCATCGTGATGAAAATGTACCTTAAAAGGAAAACGAAGGGAAATAACCTGCATGCCTGTTGTTTTTTAACCAATGCCAGCTCCCAGGAAAATACAATTAAAATAATTGTGCGGATAGGTCCTTTCTATGAGATAATCCCTTCCGAATGTTAATTCATGTAATGAAGAGCCCCTGCTCTCTGGAGCACTGCTGCCATGGCAACCTGGGCTTTGAAAGAGGTGGTGGCTGGATTCCAGGCTGCTGCTGAGAGCAGTGGGCGCTGGAAGAAAGCAACCCGGCTGGACATAAGGTCTGTGGGTGTGGTTTTCCTACGTTGTGATGAACATCGTAAGGAAAGTGAGTGACCTTCAAAGAATGTTGTTTCTTATTTCCTGTGAGGGAGAGAAACAGTATGTAGTTTTAAGCTATATTTGGTTGTAATTTTTTTTTTTTGCTATTTTTTTTGTCTATTTTAAGACAATAGATTTTAGAGTAATCGTAATAGATACTCTGAAAAGAAAGACACTGCCATTCAAACATTGGCCACAGAGAAAACGAAAACAGAAGTTCTCTATATTTACTAAATTCCAAGTTCGGTAGGGAAAACATCCACCGAAGGAAGTGTCTTAACTAAAATGTTTTCTCCTTACGCTTCTTGAAGTTTGCTGGGAAAGTCTTCTCAATGGAAAATTGTAGAGGTGAAAGCAAATTGAGATTATGGAAGACTACTTGGTTTAAAACATCTGAAGCATAGCCAGCTTAAATTTTGTGTTTTGTAAGCACAAGTTTGGTAGTAAAACATGAAATGATTTAAAGCTTACGATTTTCAAAACAAAAGTAGACTATTATATCTAGAGATGTGTAGTGGCTTCTTAATCATTCCATCAACAAGTGTTAATTAAGCACCTGCCTACTTCCCACCACTGTGCAAAAATTAAAGAGAAAAGGGATTATTACATATTTTACATCATCAACAAGTGAGTTACTACGTTGTATTTGCAAGCTGGTTGCCTTTTAAATGGCTTGATTTAGAATGTTGTCCAGATGTTAAAACAGTGAAAACGTGATTACTCTGAAGACGAAGTTGGTGTCTATGACATTATAAAATAACTTGTCTTTCTCTCCCCGCATTTAGATTAGAGAAATCAAAAATACGTCACACATTTTGCTAGTCAAGGATGTGTCGTTTGACAAGTGTTTTGAGAACTAATGAATGCATTTTCTGTATCAGCTGTCAAAAACTTTTTCTGAAATCAGTATCCAATATTTTGCTATTCTATTTCCCAGATCTTTATAATGTTGCAAAAGATCTGCAGCAAATCTCTGTCCTAAGTCAAGAGCTATTCTTATTAATTACTTTTTATTTTAAAAATAATATGTATTGGTGACCAAAAATTGAGGAGTGCAGAAAGATGTAAACATAAATCTGTAAGTTGTTTATCCCCTCAAATCTCTAGAAGGAGCACTAGTTTTTAAGTGATTTAAAGTGGGTAGCTAATTTGATTGACATCCCCACCCAAATTTTTATAGGATTAATAAGCAAAAGCCTATTAAACATCACTACCAAAGGATAATTATTTATAATTAATTGTGTGAAATTTGTAGAATATCTTGATTTTTTAGAATATTTTTAATACTGTATAAACATTTCCATTACTCCTTATAAATAATAATGATAAAAGCATTTTAAGAAATTTGAGGGACCAGCAGTTAGCGTAATGGCTATGTCGCTGGACTCCCATGTAGCCGACCACAGTTTGAGTCTCGGACCCGGTGGCTTAAACTCACGCTGGGCTTGTGTGCATGCGTGCCCAAGATCCCGAGAGGAGAATGGAGGAGAAGGGATTGTGGCGTGGCCATCCCCCCTGGGGGGTGATTTCTCGCTTTCTGTCTCTCTGTCACTCTCTGTCTGTCTGGCGAGTGCACACGCCCTGTAGCAAAAAAACCTCTTCAAAAAAAAAAAAGAGAAATTTGAAATCTTTCTTCTATATATACAAAAAGTTGGTCCAGGCTTGCTGTTGCCTTTCCTAGTCTCCTTACTCTCCTAAGAGCAGAATGGGACTTTATGAAAGGAGGCTATTTTGCATCAAGCACTTTTCCATTCCATTTTTCCTTGCATTATAATGTGCCACCGCATTCAGAGGTAAGTCTTTTACATTCCTTTCCTTCCATTTTCTTGGACTGCTGTTTCTTCTAACAGTTTCTATACAGTAATTGAAGAACCTGAGCATGGCATATACAAAAATAATGATGTGGTAGTAATATTATAAAATGATTTTCTCGTTGCAGAAAACACAAGTGACAAAGTTAGTATCCACATTACTGGAGAGGAAATATGGTGATTTATATATGAGTAAACAGCATGAATGGCTGGTTTTTGCAAAATTAAGTTAAATTTTGCAAAAGTTATCATTTAGAATAACCACATTTAGTGTTTTCGATAAGTTTGGTTTGCATTGCTATGTTGCGGTGAATTGCTTTATGTTAATGAGTAGTAGTGCTTTTAACTATGCCCTAGAATATATGTGGAGTTTGCTGTGTAATGGTTCGAAGAAGCAATGCTTGGGAGAATGCAGTTCAATTCATTGAGACTATTAGAAGACAGAGAGATAGAAGAGAACGTGTAAACTCTTACACCACTAGTGAATAGCATTTGTCAAACGAAGTTAATGTCTATTAATATTAGAAGCCAATGTTTCATAGGTAAAGTCTCTAAGAACCTTTATGGTTTTTCTGGAGAGCTTTAATTCTTAAAATGTTGCTAGGTGGTTGAGATTGCTACCTATGCGGTTGGATGTCAGTGAATTTCAGAACGTCCATCTGCCTTGGGAATGAGTTAAGAGAAGTAGTTACCAACTTACCAAGTGTCAGAGTTAGTGGTGTGGACATTGGAAATCCTTGTGGTACACTTTCAAACCTTGCGTTTGTGTTCTGTTGCTTACTAAACTGCCTAGTAATTACTAAATTTCAAAATAGATAAAAATTATATTAGACAGCACTTAAATTGAGTATTAATTTTGATTATTCTGAGCATGTGCTGAAATTTATTTAGCATCACAGTGTGAACTATAAGAGAGTTGGAAATACAGCCTATCTATGTTCAGACACACCCTAAAGAATTAACTATTGAATTATTAGGGCAGCTTCATTACACTGTGGCTGTGGTGTCACTGACTAAAGAGTTTGATACATAGCTAGGAATATTACACACTCATGGACTAGTAAAACATCCTCAAACCCTGACTTATTGTTTGTCTATTTAAAACTGAATTCTTTTTTTTTTTTTTACTTGCCAAAGAGAGACAGTGACAGAGGAGGGTAGGGAAGAGGGAGAAAGCACCCCTGTAACTCCCCCCAACCCCTGCCATCAGGTGGGGTCATACCACAATCACTTCTCCTCCATTTCTCCACCCTGCCGGGATTTGAGGGCATGTGCGCACGTATGCTGGTGTGCTTTTCAAGCCTCCAGGCCTAGCATTTGAACCAAGGTCAGCCATGTGGGATCCAGATCCAGAAGGCTTGGGGGCCAGCTTCTAAATTAAATTCCTACACACAAAAAATTTGGCTAGTTACTGGATTCCAAATTAACAAACAATATGGCTTGTAAAAGGGAGACAGTGGGACTTGGAAAAATAAATTTAAATATTTAGGTTAAATATTGGAATTTTAAATTTAAGATTGAGATTAATTTATTAGGCATTACTATGCACTGTGCTAGGTACTTCTCAACGTATCGTGGGAGTTAATTCTCATTAAACCTTGAACACCAGGAGATCACATAGTTTTTTCAAGTCATGCATCTGGTAATTGATAGAGCTTAGATTTGACCCAGGTCTTTGAAGCCAGCTTTTGATGTGCCTTCTGCTGTATTGCCTGCTTGTGACTTGGGCTTCTTTCTGTTACTTCGAATTAGTGTACGTTCTTAATTACTACAGAGTTAAATTGCAATCATGTGAATGAATTGAGATTATACGGGAGAAATGATGTGTAGAAACTACAATTGGGTTTGATCCCCTTTTTTTTTTTTGAGCAGTTGAGGGATCTGTTCCAAAATCACACCTGTGTTTGTATGGTTTACAAATTGCATTCAGTTATGTTAAACTGAGTCCTTACAAGAAGCCAGAAAGACAGAAAAGCGTTGTTCATTTTGCAGAAACCTGAAGGTTCTGCAGGTGGCAGGTTGCCCGGGGCACGGGGGCGGCAGTAGCATCGCCAGGGTTAGAAGCTGGTCCCCTGGCTGTCATGCTGGCACTTTCCATTGCAGTGTGTGATAGGCTATTCCATTCGGGCACCTTTCCTAAAACATGTGAACATATTTGTTTGACTTACTCAAATAGCATCTTCCTATTGAAATCAGTTAACCTCCCAGTTGCTGCTTCTCACTACACCATAGACCGTTTCCCCCACTAACTTCATGCTGATGTGATATTTTACTTAAACCTTGACACATATAAGTACACATCTAAAATCCTCCTGTATTCGGGGAAGGGTATATTGTAAAAACAGTTTCCCTGCTGTTTAAAATAGCAAAGGAAAGAAGGCTTTACATTGTGGCCAGAGAAGATCCGTTACTGGCAGATGACGAGACCAAGTTCTTGCCATCTTCTACCCTCCCTCAGTGACACTCAGCCCTCCGTTGAGTTTATGAAACTGACTTTGATATGTGGAAATTGAGCTTCACCCAGTCTTAGCATTATAAACTGTGTTTGTCATGAATTAGGACTCACTGCGATTGAACATCAATGCAGAATCGAACACTGCAGTGTGTTCAATTTTAAAATTCAGTCTTCTTTTTTTTTTTTTTTTAGCAGACTTAATTCCATTTATAATTTTAGCTGCCTTTTGACATGTTAAATAACATAGTCGTAGGTCTCAGGGATGAGTGTGGGCATTTTTTTTTTGTTTGTTTGTTTTATTTTTATTATCATCATAATCTTCTTTATATTACATTGGATTACATATAACTTTACAGTGTATTACATTGTTTTTTCAAAAGGGAATGCCATGCATGTCAGTCAGTACAGAGACATTAATCTCCCCACTTCAACATTCCATATCTTTTCTGTTTTCCCCAATCATAAATTCAGTCTTCTTCATGACGGAATCACAATGTCTAGGTTTTTAGTGGATCTGTACTTCATAGACCACGTGAATGAATTACGTTTCGTGGTTCTCCCTCTTTGGGTGTTACTTAGTTCTTCTGTTGTATCATTTCAGACATGGCTTTCTGGGCAGTAATTACGTTGCTGATCGTGTAGAACTATGGTGTTCTCACAAATCACTTCTGAAGTTGCTAGGACTTGGTTGTGAATGAGGGTGTGTTACTGAGGGACAGGGGAGCACATGAAAATTAAGCGATCGCCCATTATTTATGACCCACTGGGCTGCCCACATTCTCCATCATAATCACTGCACTGTACGAAGTGAGCAATTTTCAAATAGCATGTCATTCCTTTGTAAGAGAAGACTCAAGGTAATTTATGCGAGATTGCACTTGCCATCAATGTATATGTATACTTCTATTATGTGAGACTGAAAGATTTTCTTTCTCTTTCTCTTCGGGTTTTCAAAGTGATTCTCAAATGCTTTGTTTCTATATCTTACATCTTATTTATTCCCTGGCCTTTTATTAGGAACATAGTAAGACTTTGGATTCATGTTAAAATGAATTTGTGAAAACCTAGACATTTAAAAAATACAGTCTTTCTCTTGATATTTAGCAACTTGAGGTTTGCACTAGCATTCATTCATAAAATAGTTTTCCATTTTCCACAAAAGATAAAGCAGTCGTCCTGAGAACAGTGTAACAGAATTCCGCCTAACGTTTGTTCATTCTTTTCTATGTGTATTTGATTATTGTGAAGCATGCTGTTTGTGTAACATCGTCATGCGAATTCATTGTTTTGAATTTCATAATTTCATTTGATCTTTTCTTCCTTTTCGCCTCTCCTTTGTCTGTTCCTCGTCATTCTGGGAACATCACTGTCTTCTCTACTCTGACACGTCTTTCTTGTGTATTCCGTTTCCTCTTCAGTAATCCTGGTACCATGTAAGTACTTAACCAACCATTTGTTTTCTAATTTTCATCACTGTCTTTTGGTAACTTTCCATCTTGCTTCAGCTCAACACCTCCTGCACATTTTAGTAATGTCTCCTCCTCATCATGAGAATTCTCAAAAATGTTAAGGAGCATAAGAAATGCTAGGGAACTTGCCCTCAAGGGAATGTCTTATGAACCAATGGGTGTGTTTAACACACCCACGCTTCTATGGCGGAAAAACTTTGTAAGTTAATAACCTTCAGGGTAATCAATGAGTATTATAGGCAATGTAGACTGCAGTTAAAGATGTGGTTTTGAGCCTCTGTAGTGTTTTAAATTTTTTGAATGAAGTTGCTAATGTTGAATATCTATACTTCTAAATAAAATACTTGCTCTTGAGAGTTTAGTTTACATATTATTCCAAATACATTTTTAAAAAATAATTAAAATTACTCTCTTTGATCATAGAGATTAGACTTTGAGAAGTTGAGTGACTTACATAAAATACACATTGAGCAGGGCCTGTAATGCTTGGAGCCTTATCCGTCTGACTCTAAAGCCAATGTTAATTTAATTCCATCACCATCTTCACTGGGGAAGAAACTCTTCAAATGTAAAAGCCAGTTTTGATAGTGCACACTATTAAAGACAGCAGGCTGGCGGAGAGTGCTGTGATTTCTCTAGCAGGGAGTTGCACCTCGTAGATGTTGCCACCCACACCTGACCACATTCAGAGCACTTTCCTGGGAGGCCTTGTGCCAGTCGGCTGCTACTCCGGACTCATGTTCCTTTTTCTCTTCTAAATTAAACTCCTAATCTCCAGAAGCTTGCATTTGTCCTATTTTGATGGAGGGGAGAGGTGAGGAGAAATACTGATACATATTACTATTATGTTCAGTAGGCCTTAAAGTGTTAAAAAAGTAATGTGTATTGCAAAGTCTTGAATATTTATGTTTTGTTAATAGAAAAAACGAGTGTTCTTAGCAAACTCAGAGTACCTGAACTGTAGTTTACAAACAACTTCACTATATTGTTTCCTTTAATCCTCAGAACAATACTACTTCATGATAGTCTTGCCTTATAAATAAAGAAACCCTGATGCTTATGTAGTGACAGTGACTTTTGCAAAATCACACAGTGGGAAAGTCATAGGACCGACATGTAAATCCTGGTCTTTTGATAAATATTCCAGTGGTTTCTGAGAGACCGCAGCTCTTCCCAGGGCTGAGGCAGCACTGCAGCTTCTGTTTGGGAGAAGGGATACCTGCACATACTCGTGAGAAAATGCAGAGAGCAGCAGTCTGAACCTTCCCCAGATGGTGTCTGGGGTGCAGCTTAGCCTATACCAAACCATTCCCAGTTTCTGGGCCTGGTGAGGACGTGGCCATTTAATTCTGTGAAAGCCTGTACGTTCTAGCAGTATATCTGTATTTAGCTGTGGTTAGGGATGTCGTTTAAATCTGTTTTGTATGACTCATGATGAAAAACACAAGTTATTTCAAATGGTTTGATTCTGACTGCTGTGGACTTCTCGTTTTCTAGTTACCTTCTTCCTGTTCTTACTTTTTTCCTTTGCTTTTCTTCATGTTGGAAATCTCTCTCCTGCTGCCTTCTTCTGTCAATTAAAAGGAAAATTCCACCTAAACGGTAATTTTTTTCTGTTAAATACATTCTTGTAGTATGACTTTATGCATGCATTTTATTCCAAAACAACAAGAAAAAAATCTGTTTTAGAAAGAGATGTTTTGTAAGAAACCGGGGCTGAGTATACTTGTAAAATCAAACTACATAAAGGAAGTAGCGAGGATTAATTGTATAAATTGCAAATAATTCAGTAGAGGATATTTTATCCTTTCACTATAATTACAGATTTACCTCTTTTTTTTCTTCTCTCGTTAACCCTAGCCCACCAAGAAAGCACATTGTGGAGCGCTACACGGAGTTCTATCACGTACCCACTCACAGCGACGCCAGCAAGAAGAGGCTGATGGAGGACACCGAGGACTGGCGTCCCAGGACAGGGACAACTCAGTCTCGCTCCTTCCGGATCCTTGCCCAGATCACCGGGACTGAACACTGTAAGTGAACGCCCAGAGATCCAGATGGGTTCTTCACCTCAGAGAGATTGGCAGATTCAGACTGGCTGGTGGTATTGAAAAACAAAGCTGGGACAATTTGCTTTTCAGTTATGCTATGCGTAATCTGGGTGTTATAAATACCACGCCTGCTGAAATATAATAGAAATGGTTGGGATGCTACTGGTAACATGAAATGGGTGTGTGTGTGACTATGAAATGTGAACAGTTGGTATTGATTGGTACAGATAACTGCTAACATGATTTTGAAGTCCGAGAGAAACTAATATTAGATATTGCTTATTCTATTTCAGTGACAGAATCTGAAACTGATAATACGAAGAAGGCAAAGTAAGTTCTTCATCTTGTAAATTGAGTGCTTTTCTTTCATGAATGGTCTCAGTTTGGTTTTTGAGATTTTCAAGTGTAATGGTATGGCGTTTTATCTTATAACTGGAAGCTACGCATTTAACTTCGGGGCCTTTTGTGTGACTTAAATGTACAACTTACTGATTTTTAAAATGAGGAGATACTGTCTGGGTGCTGTATCTAAGTCTTGTTTTCTTTAGTGTTAAGGTAAGTGGGCCGAAGGATGTACTTGGGGGTGCTTTGCTAACAGTATGTATCTCTGTGAATGAGCTCATGTGTCCCCTTGAAGTCATTTTGGTGATAAAACAATTAGTGTTTCCGAGAGGGCTCTATAGATTAATTTCTATATTTCTTTATCTGCTCTATTCTTAAAATCTTTGCTTTTTAATAAAACAGCCAAGTAAAGCTAAGCTTTTATAAGGCATGTTTTCTGCATGATGGAATTAGTGTAGAATCTTTTTCTCTTTCTTATGACTCTTCTATCACTCTTTTTTTTTTTTATTTCCACAGGGAAAAGATACCCCTTCACGTCTTTAGTCCCAAATACACAAAATTACGTGACTGGCACCATGAAGTTTCAGCACGTGCTCTTAACGTACAGTGATTTATGAGCCTTGCCCCCCAAACAGCCAGCACATACCTTTTCATTCATTCATTCTTTCTTTCCAACTTCACAGCAAAATCTGTATGAAATTTGCCTTATGAAAAATAGAACCTTTTCTATACTTTTCTAACAATTTCCTATGGTTGTGAAAACAAGGAAAATAAACATGCTTTGTGCTAGTCGGTAGCTTATAAATGTAAAAACCGAAGAAAGAAAACTAAGGGGTTAGATCTGCTCGGTGGATTTACGGATAGCAACCTTGGAAAAGGAATTATTGTTGTAAGTTGAATTTGGTTGGTTGTTTGAAGCAGAGGCAGATGAGCAAATAATTCCTCATCTGATTTGGAAAATTCTTCTTTTATATTAGTACGTTTCCTAAGTTTACTATGAAGTTCAGTATTAGGTGACATTCAGATCTGTAGTAAATTATTCTAAGTAAGCAAATATGAGGTTACAAGATTCTAGAAAAGCCTGTATTAGAGAAGAGTTCATGGTAGGTTTAAGTATCTTTTAAAGTGGGCACTGGGAGGCCCAGATGTGGCCCCTCAAAAGCAAAGAAGAGAATCTTGTCCCTGTTTGCAGTGGGGACATATTGTTCTTTTGGTTTGGTTTGATTCAAATATCCTATTTTCTACCAAAGGAAATATTTGTAAGCTGGTGGGTCTTTTTAGGGTTATAGACAATTTCCAAGCCTTGGCTAGTGGGATATAGATAAGATAACTTTACTTTGTTTTCAAATCAGAGGAAAAGGACATAAAATAAGTTGTACTATGAATGATTTTGAGACATCAGAAAAACATTTTACTTGCTGAAATAGAAACTACTGTGCCTTGCTGATATTTATAGGAAGCTATGTTTTGGCCAATACTTGGGAGCTAAATCTCTGACCAGAATTGCATTCTGCCTTGTAATATAATGTATTATATGTTAGAGCTACACTCAGTAATAAATGCATTTTGAAGTTTGGAAAAGTCTTGTAATAAAGTTGCCTTTGACTTAGCTTTGTACTTGCTCTGTTTTCCTGAGGCTGGTAACATTGCTGTCTAGGCCTTGGTACAGTGTCACGTGGGTGAAATAAATGATTCTCTTGACATTTCATTTGGAAAACGTTCTTAATTTTATGAGGTTACTAAAATGTGTGTGTAAAATACGGCAAGGGCACGCGTTGGACTTTTTGCCTTGCATTGTTACCTTATTAACATCCTCTGTAACATGTAAGATGTTAGGTATGACACAACCGAGAATTATGATTTGTACAAAATGATCGCAGAAAGATCTTGTCTGCATTCAAGGGTCCACTTTTATTGTCAAGATTTTCTTCACTAAAAGTCTTAATAGTACTAGGACAGCTGTACTCATAATGTGGAAAAGCTAACAATTTCATTAAATAACAGGTTACCATAAAAAAGTTGGCCTTTTAAATACATTTAAAATATAATTCCAGGATTTGTCAATGCTCATTTCCATATGCATTATTATATATGTCTTTTTTTTTTTTCAGAGAGAGAGAGAGAGAGAGAGATTTTTTTGCTATAGATTGTGTGTGCTCGCTAGAGAGACAGAAAGTGAGAAATCACCCCCAGGATGGCCACAATGTCCATTTCCCTATAGTTTATTATATATGTCTTTTTTTTTTTTTCAGAGAGAGAGAGAGAGAGAGAGATTTTTTTGCTATAGATTGTGTGTGCTCGCTAGAGAGACAGAAAGTGAGAAATCACCCCCAGGATGGCCACACCTTAATCCCTTCTCCGTTCTTCCCTCAGGATTTTGGGCACACATACACACATGTCCAGCATGAGTTTTAAGCTGCTGGGTCCAGGACTCAAACCACAGTCAACCACGTGGGAGTCCATTACATAACCATGTACGCCATCTCTGGTCCCAGGATGTCTTTCTTTTATTGCCCTGGCTCTTCAGATACTCAGAGGCCTTACCTGCTTGTGTTGTGGTTATGACGTCAATCCCAGCTATCACTGTGTGTATCTGGCCTCTGTAAGAAGATCTACTTTTTTTACACCAAGCTTTCTCATACCTAATAGTTTTCCCTTGAGCTCAAAAGGTGATGTCTGAAATAAGATAGAATTAAAATTTCGTAAAAATAAACCGTGTGGTAATCATGGTGATTTCTACCAAGGACTAAATTTCTAGAATAACCCCAGATAAATAAATGAATTTTTCGCTGAATACAGACAAGAGGACATGTATAAACTTTATAACTCAAAATAGGGACCGTGGAGGATAAGAACGGAATACCCTGCCTAACTACCAGTGGAGCAGTAAACGTGCCCTGGGAAGCACAGGCTCACGTCGCCGGGCTGAACCACATGGGAGTGTGAGGGTAAATGCTCAGTCCAGAGCACAAAGGACCTTCCGTCTGACCTTGTCAGAAGCCGACTTCCTGAGCTCAGCGACTCTCCCAGGACAGTTTATATTCCTAGCTCAAAAGCTAGCTAAGAATTGTAAAAGCTACTTGCAATAATATTATTAATAATAATATTAATCTAATGATCTAACTTATGACTTGTTTATGTTTGTCTCATATAGATTGTCTTCATCATAGGCTTGTTTTTAATGTGAAATTAGGAAGTTACTCTTACGAGTTTTTTAGTATTTTTTTTCCTCCTAGAATAGAATGTTTCACACATAGTCAAATATATTTTTGTAATCTCGAAAACTACAGTGGAAATAGAAATGCTTATTTCCCAAATCATTATGCCCTATAGGAATATATTCAGATATATTAAGATTATAGCCTTTTAATAAAAACTGTGGTATTAGGATATAAAATACTAGTCCCTTCTTTTACTCAAAATTATTCTCAACACTTTAGAATGAGTTTGTTTTCCTCCAGACAAATAGTTCTGCAATTTTCATGTTTCTGGTGTGTACATAAAATCTTATAAATAAGATCCAGTGGGTGGCACAGAGGTCAGGCAGCTGTATCCCATTTGGCTGCCTGTGTGGTTCAAGTCTCAGACCCAGTGCCTTGAAAATCATGCAGGGTGTCTGTGCATGCGTGCCCCAAATCCCAGAAGCAGAATGGAGCAGAAGGGATTGCATCATGGCCATACCCCTAGTTGGGTGATTTCTCACTTTCCCTCTCTGCCTATTTCTCTTTCTCGTTCTTTCCCTCTGAGTACATGTGCCTTATAGCAAACTACCCCTCAAAAAAGGAAATTATTAAGCCAGCAGATGGCATAGCTGTTATATTGCTGGACTCCTACATGGCCAACTGTGGTTCAAGTCCCAGTCCTGGTGGCTTGAAAATCATACCTGGTGCATGTGCGTGCATGCCCAAGATCCCAGGAGGAGAATGAAAGAGAACGGATTGTGACATGGACACCTCCCCTGGAGGGGAGTAATTTCTCACTTTCCCTATCAAGCTCTCTGACGAGTACATGCACCTTTTGTCAAAAACTTCTTAAAAAAAAAAAAAAAGAAATAATATAAATGATAAATATTAATTGCCTATATTCATTCTTTCAAATTAGTAATTATTTAATATTTAAATTCCAGGCACTAATTTTTGTGCCAGGGATAAGAAGGGAACACAGATAAATACATAAGCAAAATTATCTGAAATCATTGCATTACCAAGATAATAAAATAAGTTTATATAAAAGATTATTTGGTTAAGTTGGCTTAGCTGGGGAAAGATGACTTCAGGCTATGTGGCCCTATGAGGAGACGATCTTAATACCAACGCCTGGGAGAGGAGAAGGAGCCAGCTATGTGGTGACCCCGGGGCTGGGTTCAAGGCAAAGCCAACACATGTGGCCGGGATGCAGACCAGAAAGGTGGGTGAGGCTGGGACGGGGAGCCCGAGGGAAACTTGATTCTTAGGCTTATTGGCAGATAAGGTGTACTCCCACTGCCTCCATAGCATTTTAAAGGAAGTTATCATACGATATCTAATCACTTACAAGTAAAATTAGCAAATGAAGAACCAGGCAGTTAGTCAGCTTGCTAAATCAAGCACACCCCTAGTTAGTGCCAGCCCCGCTTATTCCGAGTTTAATGTTTTCCCTCCTGAGATCCAGCAAACACCTAGACCAGGGAGACATAGCTACAGTCTGTTTTTGTTTTACACATACATACACACATATATGTATGTGTGCTTATAGAGATCAGAAACACGGTATTCTGTGAAGCAAACATAAAGTCACCCACAAACAAAACTCGTGTAAAAATCTGACACATGTATTCATAGTTTAGTCATGAATTTGATGACTTAGTCCACTCTGGCTAGTTTTGTTTGGACTCATTTATGTCATTCATGAACATTTCTTTCCTTCTTTAAACTTGTCTAAGGGCATGTGCGTTTACTAGAGGAAGAGAGGGAGAAAGTGCCTCTCGGTGGGGCATGGTCACCTCACTC